ATGCACTGGCTGTTGAGTCAAAAATAGGAGATGCAAAAAAAACCTGGTGGTAAACAACCTATCTCAGCTGGCTGGAAGATTTGAACGAATTACATTTTGATGGAAAATGAACAAAGCCAAAGCACGGAGATGTTTTGGAGACCCTGAACTTGCTATGGCATACAGTTCAATTTCGCTAACAACGAGTACCACCTATCGTAAATCAAAACGATTCTGGCGATATTAATCGCAGCAGTTGGGTTAGTAAACTTGTTATAGCTATTTCAGAATAACACTGCCACACCACGATTATCGAAGAAACCGCTAGCTGAAATACACCTGCAGACACAGACCTCTTGTTCAGCCTGCTCCAGTGATATTTCACTGGCTTGTATTTCTTTCAGAAGTCCATTTGCAGCAAATGTCTTCTTGCACCAGCTATCCATGCTTTGTAAAACACTTTCTGGATGTGAGATGACTACATTCACCCCGTCTTCGACCACCTGAAATACAAAAAGCGCTGCAGTGTTTAACGAACTTTGCGTCCAGTTCTTACAAAAAAAGGCCCTCGAAACAGACATTCACAGGCATTTTCAAAAAAAAAATAATTGGCCAACATATGGGCTGCCCGTGCGAAGATGCGTTTTTTACATAGTTCCCCGCAGTTTTTATCACAGCCGGTACCGGTTTTTCCGGCAAATGCTTCTAGCTAAACAAATTAAGACTGGCTGCCAGAACTGTCAGGAAACACCTCCTCAAAATTTCAGCTTTCCAGCTTTCCAGGCTCCTAAGTTAGCAACTTACTCGAAAAAAACTTTCAAGGGCCCATACGTGGGTACCACGCATGCCCGATGCCTAGGTTTGAACTTGCTGAAACTTACGTGAACGGGGAACATCGCCTTAAAATTTCAGCTTTCTAGCTTTTCTGATTCCCGAATTAGCGACTTAGCTGCGAAAAATTTTTACGGACCCGTACGCAGGTGCCACGAGGGCAGGAGCGTCCATTTCGGAAACGGGGGCCCAAACTCGCATGTAGATTAAGTTCCCCAAGTTTCAGTCCCGTAGCTTTTGTGGATCTCGAGATGAAAAATCGCTATAGACGCGCAGCACACATATACACACACAGACAACCTCTCGTCAATATGCATTTTCTGCATTGCGTAGAAGCAAAAAACGCATAAAAATTACCGTTAAATCAGCTTCAGTTACCACGCATGCCACTTCCACGATTGTTTTAGTATTAACATCTAGGCCGGTCATCTCGCAATCCACCCAAATAATGCGCGCTAAAGGATCCGAAATGGCTGCCATTCGGATGCCCAACAAGTTGCGGAAAACGCGAAAAAATGCCGTCCTGAGATTTTAATCACAAATCCAATTTCAGAAGTTTTCGCCAAAAATGCACCTGAAATTTGACAAATATGAAAACAAAAACAAGACTTTGTAATAAATGCAGTGCAGGAATTAAAACAATCATCGTAAAATCGTAAAAAAAAATCATGAAACGTAAACGTTTATAAGTCAATTTTGTCGTTACGAAGGAAAATTTACATACTGTAAGCTAGCAAGGAAAGGGTAGAGGATCAATGCACTAATTTACAATGATTTTGAAAAGCGAGTTTAATAATTTAGCGCAAAACGAGATACTGAATATTGAGTAATATCCGAAATGATCAACTTATACACCGACACTCAAAATGAAAGTTACTGAAGCAAAACAGCATGTGGTAAAATATAAACAAATAGCACCGCGCACCAGAATAGCTGGTGCAATCATGCGTTTTGTGCAATTCAGCCCATCGAACAATTGCCAATTAATGATTTTCACTGCTTTGTACTTATGTCTATGCAAAAATAGTTCAAACATTGGAAAACAGTTAAAAATTTCACGCACCAGCGTATGAAAGCTGAAATCGAAACCTTGAAGGATAAATATCTTCCCGTGATCCCCGAGTTAACAGTTTACCCTCTAAAATTTTCACGAAGCCGTAGGTGGTACGAGAACGCTGAATTTGAATGGTCAACGTTGAGCGGGGGCAGTAGGTCGTTACCCTAAAATTTCAGCCTCCTAGACCCCTGGTCCCCGAGATAATTTACTCGCAAGAACTTTCACTACCCGTAGGTGATACCCGAGAGTGCGCGAACGCTGAATTTGAATGGGCAAGGTTGAGCGTGGTAGGAGGCTATTAGTGAAAAATTTCTGCCTCCTAGACTCCGTGGTTCCCGAGATATTAACTTACCCGTAAAAAACTTTCACGGGGCCGTAGGCGTTACCCGCGGGTACGGAGAAGCTGAATTTAAATTTGCGGGGTCACACGTGGGTGAGGAACGTTCCCCTAAATTTTCAGCTTCCTAGCTTTTGTGGTTCTCGAATTGAAAGTTGCGGACAAGTTGCTGCGGACACACACACACACAGACAACCCCGTGACAATATGCGTTTTGTACTGCTGTTACACAGCACAAAACGCATAATAAATAGCAGCACGCACCAGAATAGCCGGTGCAATCATGCATTTTGTGCAAATCCATCCACCGAACGATTGCCTATTAATGATTTTTACTGCCCGAAATGTGAATATCCTTCCACAGTTTCAGTCTGCTAGTTTTTTAGCTTTCGAGTGATTTTTACGACAGAACTTTCACGTTTTCGTACGTGAGAGCTCGGCATACTTATGAACTGAATTTGAGTTTATGAAGCTCCTGCTTAGGTAGGAAATATCCTACTGAAATTTTTTGCCTCCTAGTTCTTCTGGCTTCCGGAATAATGATTTTTCTCGCCAAAACTTCCACGGGAAGTTGAAACTTTGCGAAGACGTGTATGATCAGGGGATACCACGCCAGAAATTTCAGCTCTCTAGTTTTTGTAGTTCACGAAATAATAATTTTCTTGCCAAAACTTTCACGGAGCCGTACGTGATACCCAAGGGTACGTGAAGACTGACCAAAATTTGCGGGGTCGCGCATTGGTAGGGAACATTGGCCTAAAATTTACGTTCCAATTTTCCCTGCCAAAACTTTCATGGGGCAGCAGCTGAAATCCGAAAGCGTGGGGACATTAAATTTGAATTTGCAAGATCGTATGTAGACAGAGGGTGGCTACCCTAAAACCGCGGCTTCCAAGATCTCGTGGTCCCCAAGATAAAAATTTACCCACCAAAATTTTCACGGGGACAAAGCTGATGCCAAAGGGATCATTACCTTTAAATTTCAACTTCCTAGACCACGTGGTACCCGTAGATAATAATCTCCCTGCCAAAACTTTTTACGGGGCGGCACGTGTTACCTGCAGGGAGGGGGAGGCTGAATTTAAATTTTCTGGGTTGCCGCACGTCAGCAGGAGAATTGCCCACAAAATTTCAGCCTTTTAGCTTCAGTGGTTCTTGCGATAATAATTTCAACCACCAAAAATTCTACGGGTTCACACGTGCTACCCGCGGGTACGGGGAGGCTGAATTTAAATTTGCTGGGTTATACGTGCGTAGGGGAACATTACCCTAAATTTTCAGCTTCCTGGCTTTCATGGCTCTCGAGCTGAAGCTACGGACACACCCACAAACACATACAGACAAACCCGTAACAATATGCGTTTTGTATTGCTGTTACACAGCAAAAAACGTATAAAAAACAAGTATAGAGCAGCAATCAAATCTCGGTTGTGCGCGAAATAGTAATTTCCTTTGCTCTGTAAAAAATTATTAGTAAAATTTATGGAAAATCCACCTTGGGCAGCCAGAAACTATTACACGAAAAGCGAACAACTATAACTGGCTGGTCTTCCTCCCTGGAGAAATCGCTTAGATTCGCACAAAAGCAACACGAGGTAGTAAATCTCCGGAAAGATACCTTTTATAGCCAATTTTTAATTCTGGCACATAGTAATACATATCAAAGCACTGTTTCTTTTGAGATGTTTATTAGTTCACGAGTTACAACCAAAACAGAATACACAGTAAACTCACCCCAAAAAACCGTTAAAACCTCTTTACATTACGCAAAAATTTGCTTTTCAAATATATGCTGTAATCCACCAAAATATGCAATTTATCCCTTTTTACTATAGTGAAAATCCTTCCATCTCCTTCCTCCTCCCTCGTCCATAATCTCATGAAAAATTTCAAAACTTGCTGTAGTACAGTTGCAGAAGGAAGGAGCTTCTATAATCAGAAAATCTGTTTTTGCAATAAACAATAAAAAGCACCTATAAAAAAGAAATGAAAGACTTGATTCATACCATACAAAGTGGATTCGCTTAAAATAAATAGAGAAAGTGATTCAAATAAAAATAAATAGCAACGTGCACTAGATTAGCCGGTGCGATCATGCGTTTTGTACAATTCGTCCACTGGACGATTGCCTGTAAATGATTTTCACTACTTAAATTTTAGTCTGTGCAAAAGTAGTTGAAACATTGAAAAATAGTTAAAAATTTCACGCACTGATGACACTAGAGCAAAACTGCAGCTTCTTGGCTTTATGTTTCCTGCGATAATAATTTCCCCACCAATATTTTCACGGGGCCGTAGCAGATACCCGAGAGGGCGAGAACGCAGAATTTGAATTTGCAAGATCGCACGTGGGTAGGGGGTCAGTGTCCTAAAATTTCAGCCCCCTAGCTTCTGTGGTTCCCGAGATACTGATTTTGCCTGCTAAAAGTTTCATCGGACCGCATATGTCACCAGCGGATGCAGGAAAGGTGAATTTGAGTTTTCTGGGCCGTACGTGGTCAGGGGACACACCCATAAAATTTCAGCTTCCTAGCTTCCGTGGCTCCCGAAAAATGATTCTGCCCGAAAAAAAAAAAAAACTTTTACGGGGCCGTACGTGTTACCCGCGGATACTGGAAGGTTAAATTTAAATTTGCCGCGTCATGTACTGGCGGGGAACACCATACTGAAATTTCAGCCGCCTAGCTTTTGTGGTTCCCAGATTGAAAGTGCGGGACAACCCCCTGACAATATGTGTTTTGTACTGCTGTTACACACCACAAAACGCATAATGAAGCAGCTGTCCTCCTCACCGCTAGAATTTCGTTCCTTCAAAGACAAGTGCACCCAGGAATTAAGGAGGGCAGAAGATGACCAGGAAAAGTTGGCCAATTGCGACTTCTCTTTCATGCTCAGATGCAAAAGAACGAAGAAAGAAACAAATTTTGACAAAACTGAGCTATAAAGGCACGAAAACCAGCTGATTAACAATACTGGAATGGCAGTCGTCATCCAGAACCATTAGATTTGGGTACCACTAGAGAGTCGGCTCATTCTCCTTGCTCTTATTGTCCCTTTCAATTTTTCTACCTGTTTTTTTCTAAAATATCATTATAATCACAAGAATAATATACAACGACTAGAAACTATATACAATCGTTGTTAAAATTCCACAAACAATATGAATTACCATTGGAAAAAAAGAGATCCAGAAGCCAAACTTCACCGAACTTAAGAAAAAAGCATATCATAGGGAGTCAGCCTGAGGCAGGCCAACTTCCTCGATGTAAATTTTCCTCAGATCGACAACTTCGCTTTTTAAAATTATATCCA